GAAGACAGGGCTAAAAGCGTGGGAAGCAGTGGAACTACACTTATACTGTTACGGCTGAAGCAGTAAACACCTCAGAAGGCAGCTGGGCTTGAGCTATCTTGCAGGAGCTTCTCCTAAGAGGAACCCTAGCAGCAAGATGCTATAGGACCAGCCAGGAGCTAAGTGCAGGAAATGGGAAATACGAAGCCAGAGCCAGATCTCCCATATTGAGGAATCAATAGAAAATCTGAACAGGGCCCTCCCATGTCCCGTGACAGAAATGACCAATGTAAGCCAGAGACCTCTCATCAATTAACAAGTCACTGCTTCCACTCACAGTTCAGTAAGGAGAGGTCTGCCTTTTTTCCTCTCTCCCAGAATCTAAGATAGAAACTAGCACCTAACAGATGGGGAAACACTGCTCCAAGCTGTAACTGCTGAAGACCGATAGTCCCGGCTATGTTTTGAAGGAAGAGCTTTGAATAGAGTTTAAGACAGAAGTCTTAAAATATACAAAAGTGGAAGATAAATGCTAAAATAGGACTCTTCTAATAACTGCAAGTGCCTGGAATATTAAACAGTCTATTCACAATTCCATTAGGCAAAGTGAATGGCCTAGCTCTCCCCAGGGTTTGGCCCAAGTCACGAGCAAATCTATCAGCAGCAGAAATGGAGTTAAGCAGATGAGTCACTGAAAGCTAGATGTGGGATTTAAACAGGCTGAGTCTGAGAAAATATATCTGAATTGAAGGTACAGATTTGGAAGCTCTCAACACTTTAAAATGATAGTACCAATAAGTAATACTATTAAAAAGATGTATTATTAACAATAATATTAATAACAATTAACATTTATTGACCTCTTACTATTTGCCAGTAAAATTCTATACTGAGAATTTTATATGGGTTATATCATTTAATCCGTAGGACAGCAGTTCTTAACCTTTCACAGGGGTTGCCTAAGACCATCGGAAAACACATATTTTTGATGGTCTTAGGAACCAAGACACCGCTCCTCTATCCGTCTCCAGGCCAACATGCAGATACACCCACATACGAGTACCCGGCGACCCCTGTGAAAGGGTCGTTCGACCCCCAAAGGGGTCGCGACCCACAGGTTGAGAACCACTGCCTTAGGACATCTTAATGTGCCCAAGGGTACCACCTGTGTGTCCATTTTACATAGAATTGAAATGGGAATTTATAGAATTTAAGGAGCTTACCCTAGTTTCTTGCTGACAAACCACAGAACAGGTATCGAAACTAAAGTAATTCTGACTCCAACGGTTACTTACTTAATTTAATTCATTAAACTGCCTTCTGAACATTTTCAATAGTATGAAAGTAGATGTTATCATTTTGAGATAAAGTGAGAATGAAGGAGAGCTCTGAAAACCGGAGCAGAGAAGCCAGAAAATGGATATAAAAAAATAAAGAGAGATTAATTTAGATCTTTTGTAAGATGATAATGGTGAAATGATTACAGAAATATAAAAGGTTTGTTTTCAAACCCACCCAACCAGTATTGAAAACCAATTTAGGATGGAAAACATAAGATTTATAATAGCACCTACTTGGCTGTTGATATGTCCTCACAGGTAAAATGCTTGTTTTCTTTAAGAAATAACACTTCAAATGCTTGTTTTCTTTAAGAAATAACACTTCATCTCCCAAAACCATTCTCTATTCCTTGATAACAGCAGCACAGAATAAAGTACATAATTAATAACTTTGTTTTACACACACACACACACACACACACACACACACACCCTACATAGGAAAGATACAACTAGTGAATGGGTATATACACTTTTTTTAAAATAAAAGTATATTGTGTGAGTCACATTCTTTTAACATGATTAATTTCATAGGTTACAGAGCATTCCTGATTTCCAGTAAGATGAAAGAAACTGAACTCAAACTGTTGAGGTACATTTTGTAGCTAAATACCCAAAGCTATTGTATTATATTCACTATTCCTCTTATTTTACATAGCCATACCTCATTGAACGGACTCTGCTCAGAAATCACGTGTGCAACATAAATCAATAATTTTCCAGGTAGCTGAGGCTTACCCAGTATAGCATCAAATTGATTCTATGTTATTGAATTTAATAGAAACTGAAAATACGTTACATACTTTTCCAGTCCTTCCTACAGAAGATATGTTACATAAAATGTATCCTTTTCTTGATGGTCTAGAATCACTCTTACAACCATCAGTTTGTGCTGCATGATCACATAGCAACGCCCTGAGGAATTATTCAGGTAGTTTTCCTTCTGACTAAGACCACATCAGTGTTGGCATCATTATTCTGAATAAAGCAAAACACAGCAAAGACAACCATCGGCCTTGGATGCAGCCAGAAATGGATTAAAATCTCGGCTCTTCCATTTAAGAGTTGGGTTACTCTTTAGGTAAGTAGTTAATCACTTATGAGTCTTTGTTTTCCCACTTGCAAAATGGAGGCAAACTAAGAAGTGATTCTGAGTATGTAGTAAGTGCTGGCCACGGTGCTATCTCTGGCCTTGACTCCAGAATGAGATGCAGTACAGTGCAGGCATGAAAAACACTGGAGCTGAACCATTTCCTGGCTCTGTGACATGTGGCAAACTACTTAACCTCTCCATGCCTTCGTTTCCTCTTCAGTAGAAATGAGATCATAAAAATACATTGAAGGAGCCATTGTGAAAGTTAACATATTCAAAACAGAGGAGTGGCTGGGTCCTAGTAATCACTGAGTAAGTTGTGATGATGACAGCTCACTGAACCATCACAGCAATCGTGACAGTTACCTAATGGTATGAGTCCTTATTTTGAAGATGAGGAAACAGACTGAGAGACCTTCAATAACTTGTCCAAGTCACACACCACTGGTGAGGAAGTGCTAACTCCAGGTGCAAGGATATAACCGCTGAACACGGCCACTCTGTGCACACTCCAACGTGCGCTGCCCACACTGTCAGTGACAACCCAGCAGTCTCGACGGGCACAGCCGCACAGCTGTGTGAAACAGCCTTGCCACCATGTCTGCCTCCCTATTTCATACAACACACTGTGAGAGTGAAGGGAGAGTACAGAGGCACCCAACACCATTTTACACATAGCTTTTCGATAAATCTAGTACACCCTGAAGCTAGTGAGACTTGAGATAACTCATCAATTCAATAATAAATGCTAAGCCACCTTCTGGCCTGAAAGATACACCTTTAACTCCTATTAGGAGTTAAAAACGTTCATGACTTTTTGACAGAGGATATTATTCTGGGTGTTGTAGGCAGTTTCTGACATGGTCCCCAGTAATCCCCAGCTCCTGCTCTTTAGGCCTTTGGTTAATCTCTTTCCCTGATGATAGACTCAACGTAGTGACTTGCTTCTAACAAACAGAACAGGGCAAAACTGACGGATGTCCCTTCTGAGATTGAATTATAGAAGACGACGCTCCTGTCCAGCTTGCTCGCGCTCCCCTCGCGCCCGCCCACTGCCTCACTCTGATGGAGCCAGCTGGCATGCTGCGTGGGCTGCCCTATGGAGAGGGCCTCCAGGTGAGGAGCTGCAGGTGACCTCCAGGCAACAGCAGGAAAGAACTGAGGCCCTCAGCCCACCAACTCACAAGGAACGAAATCCTGCCAACACCGGTGTACCTAGAAGCAGATCCACCCCCAGAAAACCTTGTGATCACTACAGCCCAACCTTAATCGCTGACCTGTGGGAGGCCCTGAGTCACAGGACCCACTAGGCCAGGACCACGCTCCTGCCCCAGAAACTTCCAGATAATAAATGTTGTTTTCAGCCATTGAGTCCTGGGATAATTTGTTACATAGCAATAGAAAAATAATATGCCAGGGCTTTTTCTATTTAGGTTCAATTCCCTGTTTGTGTTTCACATGACTGACCAAGACCACACTACTAAAAATAAACCATCTCGGACACAACTTTTGCTCCACAGTATTGTGATGATCTGATTCTTTTTTGCCTATCATACTAGACTACGAGTTCCTTGAGAGCTAAAACTGTATCTTTTGTTTCCAAAAGCAGGAGCGTCGTTATTTAATACTTAAAATCTCTGGAGCAAGGTCAAAAGCCAAAGATGAAGTACAGGCTCAGGAGAATGAAAAATATTGGAAGGTATGGGAAAGAGGACGAGAAGGCTTTGATCAAAGGGGGATTTCAGAGTTTGAAATCCTATAAACAAAACAATCGGAATGATACTAATATGTGAAATGTGACAGTACTCTGCCAGGCACACAAGCCATTTTTATTTAGTCCATGAGTAGTAACTTGTCAAAGGCTATGGCCACGTAAGGAAGAATTAGTGGTGAGCCTAGCTCTCTCCATTTTGAGAAAGCAACCTAGAGCAAATGCTGACAGCCCAATGCCTCTCTTAACATTTTTTGGCCTCAGGAATGAGGGTCCAGAACCAGAGCATCACACCCAGTTCCATTTCCAGACACAGCATGACAAGAGAATTGGGGGTCAAAAACCTTGACATGCCACTTAGAGCAGTGACATATCACTGATAATAAGAATAAAAGTCTATACAGTCTCATGAGCAGAACTTTGAAAGGTTAATATTACATTGCATTAAGAAAAAACAATTGTTCAGTGTACTTTATCTGCCCAAGTTGGCCTGATCTTTGATGAGAATTTATTTTCCCTAACTTTTTGGGACTAAGACAGAAATGTTATAAGCAGTTTTTAATAAATATTCTACTTTTAGCACTTAACTCCTTGCTTTGTTGTCCTTGTAGTTTTGTACTTTTAATTGAATAGTCAGCAAAAATATTAGAATATCCATGATTTTCTGTTTTATTATTTGGTACTTATATAAATGAGGGATAAAGTTGGAAAGAGACTATATCCTATGGATATAACACAGATCAGAACCCAGGGGATTTGGATTCAAGTCTGTCAACTGATGGTCCTTACCAATTCAACGCCAACAGGAATCCCCAATTTGGGGTGCGGGTAAAGAAGGAAACTTTATTCAGTGCAAACAGGTCAACTGTGATACAGCATGGCTGTGAGAACAACATGGCTGCAGAAGAGCTCAATAGTGTTACAGCTCAATTATGAGAGCACGTCTGTGGAACTGCACAGCTGTGAGGCAGCCCTGCGGGAGGAGGCCTTGGGGCAAGGCGGCCCTGCTCTGCTCCAGTCTGCTCCACCTGCTCTGCTTGGCTCTGCTCCTGAGAGACTTCTTTGGTGTTTCAGCTCCAGCCAGGAAATGCAGTCTTCTGTCTTCAATAGACAGGGAAAGTATACTCTCTGAGCCAGAGGGAGCTGATTTATATAGTCAGAAGTCCCTTCTCCTAGTACTGGGTTGGCCTGTCCTCATGTAAATGAGGACTCCAAATCCTTGCAGTTTGATTGGTCCAAAAAAGCACTGTCCTAATTGGTCAGGATGGAGCTGCTCTGATTGGTCGGTGAAGATGTTAATGGGATATAGCTGTGCAGGTCCGATTAGATGGGGAAAGTCTCAGTCTTATTAACTGAAATACAATTCCAGAAACTCCTTTATAGAAACTGGCTTACATGGCAGGACACAGTGCAGGCAGGCAGTTCAGTGCAGGCTTCTCCCTGAAGTGCAGTTTACATGAGGCCTCTGTTTAGAAAAGGTGCTAGGCTCTCCTTTTAAATTTGAGCCCAGTTAGCCACCAGGAGCCCTTCTTAGTGGGCTTTTTTTTTTTGTCCCCTCAGGGTGTAGAAGTCTCAGATACTGTTAACAAAAGGTGCCCTTAGACATAACTTATTTATGGCCTAGCTTCCTTTAATTAACTCAATTGGTATAATAACTGCTACAATATTTTTGTCTGAATGTGAGATGATAAATGTGAAAAGCCTTTGACAAGGTGAAATGCGCTGTTCAATGCAAATTATAACATAGATACCAATCTGCATGTGACCTCCTTCAAGAAAGAACTAACTTATCTCTTTGAAGAAACTTTCTCTAACTCCATCTTCATCAGCAATTCATTGCCACTAGAGTTCTTCTGACCTTGTGTGGTTTATGTCATCATGTGCTTATTTATAATAATTTTCACTCACGATAATGGTATAAATGTAGAAAAGGTTTGAACGTAAATATCAAAGTGAAGTTTCACCTTCCCATTAGCATTATACCAAAGTGAATGTGTGCCCCATGTAATCTGCTCACCTCTCCATAAACCTGACTTCATGTTATACATTTGGATATTCCACAACACCACCACCAACAATTGGCCAACACTTTCAGAATCATATTTTCCAGCATGCACAATAGCATTATGTCCAGGAAGTTAGAGCTTATAAGGAAGCAAAAACTCCCAGTTTCAGGAAAATCCCTGCAAGAGGCAAGACCTCATGACATAATAAAGCAATGTCTCATTCTGACCCTAAGAAGCCCAAGTACCTCTATCCATCTGATTGGTAAAAGCTTCCAACACACAAGTCCACCCTGCCTAGAACTCCAGGCCAACTGTGAGTACATCACGCTGCACATTTGAGTGTCACCCACAAACACCCCAGTGAGGTAAACTTTGCAGCTTAGAGAGCCCAACATCAGCAGGTCTTTTTCCTGTACCGTTGTGGCATGAGCTCCTCTCACTACTATGTATTTTCTCCAAAACTCTTCTCCCTTGCATCCAAGGAGTTCTCTACATTAGACACAGGTAAAACTGATTAGAAACATCTCTTACCTTAAGTAAAATTCAGTTAATCGAGATTTCATCTCTACTCTTTCTTAGGGCTTCTACTCCCGCTACTTCATTGTCCTACAGTCACTTTTCCCTGTCTTCTGGTGACTGGTGTGGTGAGAGGCAAGGTAAAAAAGGAAAAACTAATGATATACAGTCCACCATCTCCACAAGGATACCTATCTGAGAATCCTGCTCAACAAGAACACTACAGAGACACTAAATCACTAGGTCCTTAGCTTTGAAGTCCCACAACTGTAACCATGGTGCCTTACCCTTGATTATTGCTCTGGCATAAATGCATCTGCCAGTGTTTTCCAAGTCACCCAATCTTCTAGTGCAGGCACTCTTACCCCAGATACACCCATCAGACCTCACTATTATTCCTGCTTCTAGAGAGTGTATAGTCAAGACCCGAAAAACAGTTTTCTTTCACAAGACAGGACACTATTCCGAGGAAAAACAGCACATTCCAGCTAAGGTTAAGTCTCTCTGATGTGCACCTACAGCACACTGTGCATGCCCTTATTAAAGCACCTATCATGGTATTTTATTGAAATTATACCAGTTTTCCCCATTAAAGTGTAAACTCTTTGAAGGCAGGGACCAGATATTAGCATTGCTTTTTCAGAGCTATATCTCTGGTTCATGTCTTTTGAACTGAATTGAACTAAGTGAAAGTAATGTTCTGGGAAGTTATAAATCTCTGGGTTATACTTGCTATATTTCACATGATCAAAATAGAAAATGCTCCTAAAAGCTACTCTGTAATGAAAATGTTAAGCAATTTTCAAACATGAATGCTCTAGGATATTGAATATAAATGTAAAAATTTCTTATTCTTTAGTATTGCTGCCATTAAAATTTTCAAAAATGTAAACATATCTTAATGTCAATGCACATTTAGATTCTAATTCTTTGACTTAACATTATTTAACATTCATAACAAGATTCTCTCACTAAAATAGAAAAATTAATACTTCTCATAAACCAAATCTGATAATAGTACAAATAAGATTACAAAAGATTGTGGGTGCTTGGATAAGCAGTGATTTGGAAGCATTATGTTTTCTATATTAATTATGATTTAAAGAGAAAATAATGAAACAAACCAACTGAGTAGAGTAGAAATTGCTTTAAGTGAAAAGCTCGCCATCTCATTTTTTGTTTTAGACCATTAATCATAGGATATTCTTACTTACTTATTACTTTATATTAGTAGTAGAAGTTCTCATAATAAAACAACATAAATTCAGCTCTTTGTAGTTATTGCTGATGGCCCCATGATTTCAGAGTAGACAAACCTCCATAAATTATGTCCTGTAAAACTGGCTATGCTCATAAGGACCAAATGTTACGCAAGTGTATTTCTCTTGCCAACACTGCTCCAAACCACCTACCCAACCACAAATATACACAGAGACCTTTCAGAGGTACAACTTTTATTCCACATGAGAGTACAAACTAGCTCTCTCTAAAGAGACAGACAAGGTTGCCTTTTGGGCAACTATTGCAGTTCATGCCATGCTCCTTGACTCAGTCCACAACATTTATTGAATAGCCACAATACGTCAGCCAACTCCTTCACAGAATCCAGTCCAATAAGCCCATCCCAACACTTGAGGTCATTGCATCCTTGAGACTGTGGCCATTCAGGCAAACCTAAGCAACTTCATTTATTCTTCCCTAAGCATTCCACTTAGTAGAAGCCCATCTACTCATACATTTTGCAATACTCAAGTTCTCCATCACAGTATCTAGGTCCTCATGTGCTATCATTCTTCCAGAGGTCTGGAGTTCACCTACAAATAACCTGGAAATAAATTATCTTGACCTCCCAAAGCCCTCATGTCCATGAAAATAGAAATATTCATTTCCACCATCACCTTTCAGTCATACTCTTTCTCTCCTGAAGGTTGTGGACTCTGCAGCCTATTCTCCATTTATTCACGTTGTCCAGCCAAACAAAAAAGTGTTTCTTTTTCTCTCACTATCCTGTAAGAATGTATTCAGAAACCAACTTGCAGAAATAAACTCAGAAATGAAACACCACTGACAAGGAGAAAAGAGAGCAAAAGATATCTGAGGACAAGCTACTAGAGACATTAAATTAATATATCATGTACTTGAAGGCCATGGTGATTTGTCTGGAAAACTGAGAATAAAGTTGGTAATGAATCTAACAAAAATGGGATTGACATTTCACAAGGACATTTCACAACTGGTATTTCTTATCCTTTATTCATAAGGTATAAGAAAAATGGAAGGGCTCTGGAAATAACATTGCAAGACAAACAAATAAATACATGGATCCACTGTCAGATGAGAAAACAGTAAAGGAAAGCTGCCAACAGATGCCATCAAGAATCATTATAGAAAACTGCAGAACCACCATCATGAGAATCACCTGAAGTACAGCTTAACCGAAGCCCTACAATTACTGACATACAGAAGAAGCCACCTCAAGACTGGTAGGAGGGGCAGAGACATGGAACAAGCTGGTCCCACACCTGCAACGTGACCATACAAGGGACACACCTGGAGCACCTGGCTCTGGTGACCAGGGAGACTGTACCACTGGTTCCCACAGGACACCTAATACATAAAGCCACTTTACTAAGACCAGGAAGCATAGCAGCCCTACCTAATATAAAACAAACACAGAGAGGCAACCAAAATGGGGAGATAAAGAAACATGTCCCAAATAAAAGAAGAGAACAAAGCTCCAGAAAAAGAACCAAACGTAATGGAGACAAGCAATCTACCAGATGCAGAGTTCCAAACACTGGTTAGTAGGATGGTCAATGATCCTCAGGGAGAATTTCAACTTATAGATAGGATACATAAAAATGGAGATAGAAAATATAAAAAAGAACCAGTCATAAATAAAGAACACAATAACAGAAATGAAGAATATGTTAGAGGTGGGCCGGCCGAGTGGCTCAGCTGGTGAAGAGCTCACTTGGGACGCCAGCTCTGAGCAGCAGGACTACAGATCGGATCCCACATTGAAAGCCAGTGACGCTTGCCCTCTACAGCTAAGATGGTGAACAACAGCTTGACCTGGAGCTGGGCTGCTGTGAGTCACCAGCGACGGCGTGGGCTGCCCCGGGGCTAAAGTGGGCTGCCGTGAGCTGTGTGAGTGGCTGGCAGCCAGTGTGAGCTGCCGGGAGCTGCTCTGAGCGGCCAACCAGACCGGTGACCAATTGCCTCACCCAGGAAGAGAACAATGATCATATCAACATGGGCCAGTGAAGCGACGTCCTCCACAACTAGATTGAAGAACAAAAACGCAATCTGTCTACCTGTCTGTTCCCCTTCCCCGATTCCCCAACGCTGTTCCTCTTCCCCCAATTCCTCAATAAAATCTTTAAAAAAAAAAAAAAAGAATACGTTAGAGGAAATCAACAGTGCCTTAGATGAAGCAGAGGACTGAATCAGCAATACAGAAGATACGGTAGAAGAAAACACCCAATCCGAACAGAAAAAAGAAAAAAAAAATTCAAAAAAAAGAGGAGCGTTTAAGGGGCCTCTGGGAAAACATCAAGCATACCAACATTTTCATTAAGGGGGTACCAGAGCAGA